CCCCACACACAAGCTGAAGCCATCAGCAGCAGCAATAATCCTGCTGCTGCTGCTGCTGCTCCTGCTGCTGGACCCGCTGCTGCAGTGTCGCTGCCTCCCGAAGCCCGCCAAATGCAGCAGCAGCAGCAGCAGCAATAGCAGAAGCACTAGAAGCAGCAACCCTAGTAGTAGCAGCAGCAGCAGTAGAAACGGAACTAGTAGCAGCAGCAACAGCAGCAACAGCAGCAGCAACAACAGCAGCAGCAGCAACAGCAGCAGCAGCGCGACCTGCTGCCTGCGATCATCAAGGTATTCTCTCGGCAGCAGCATATTTGTTTTGCTGCAGTAAAAGCGGGTGAGGAGACAGAGTGGAGGTTGATATTCTTCTGTCTCCTCCTCCTGCTGCTCTTCCTGCTGCTGCTGCTGCTGCTGCTGCAGTGTCTCCTCCTGCTGCTGTCTCCTTCTCTTTTCTTCATTATATGCAGCAGCAGAGAAAAACACCAAAACTTCTTCGTCCAGACGCTCCGCGGGGATGCAGTCGCACTAAAATAAATAAACAAATAAATTAATTAATTAATTAATTAATTAATTAAATATTCTCAGTGTGCAGCAGCAAACACTATAGCATCAGCAGCAGTAGCAACAGAAGCAGCAAAGCAAAAGCAGCAGCAGCAAAAGCAGGAAGGGCAACAACAGCAGCAACAGCAGCAGCATCAACAGCAGCAGCAACAGCAGCAGCAACAGCAGCAACAGACCTCATCAGATTCTGCATATTCATCTTCTCCTAGGAGACACTTCTTAGCTGAGGAGACGCCAAATTGCTGCAGGTCCTCCGCATCATAAACCCATCGAACTTCAAACATAATAGGGGTCAAAGGGGGCCCCTCATCTCCTTCCGAGGGGCCCCCAGGGGGCCCCCCAAATCCACCTGAGGGGCCCCCAGGGGCCCCCCTACCCCTAGCATCAGAGGGGCCCCCAGGGGGCCCCCCCTTTGCAGCTGAGGGGCCCCCAGGGGGGCCCCTCCCTCTTCGCCTCCTCCTATCAGTACCCTCAGGGGCCCCTTGGGGGGCCCCTGAGGGTATTAATGAAGAGGAAGTGAAGGAAGCAGCTTCGGCTGAGGTGGGTGGATTAAAGTTTGGAGGGGCCTCCTGTAATAACAAACACTCATCATAAGAGTTTAGTCTTGCTGCTGCTGCTGCTCCTGCTGTCTGTTGTTTTGCTGCTGTTGCTGGTGCTTCTGCTGCTACTGCTACTCCTGCTACTCCTGCTCTTTCTGATGCGGCTGCTACTGCTCTGTCTGCTGCTTCTGCTGCTGCTGCTGTTGTTTGTGCTGTTTCTGCTACTGCTACTGCTCTTGCTACTGCTGCTACTGCTCTTTCTGCTGCTGCTGCTACTGCTGCTGCTGCTGCTGCTGCTGCTGCTGCTTCTGCTGCTGCAGGCACCTGGTATATCGCCATAACTTGAGCTGCAGAACCCCACAACAACAAAAGCGAAGAAAAAGAAAGTAAAAGACAGCAGCAAACAAAAACAAGCAAATAGCAGTGACGAGCTCAGCAGCAGCAGCAACAGCAGCACTTGCAGCAGCAGCAACAGCAATAAATAAATAATTAAATAATATGTCTCTCACCAAATCTGTACTGCAGCAGAGACGAATTGCTGCGCAGTCGGCTGGCGAGAATATCCACAAAGTCCCCTACTTTAATCGTCGTGCTGCTGCTGCTGCTGCTGCTGCTGCTGCTGCTGCTGCTGCTGCTGCTGCTGCTAACCTCTGTTACGGTGTACGTGGAGTAGAAAATAAGCCCCTCTTCATATGCTACGAAGCCGCATGCAGAGCCAACCACATCTGCTTCCTCATCTTCAACAGCTGAAGACTTCTCAGTAGCCCTTCTGCTGCTGCTGCTGCTGCTGCTGCTGCGGCTGCTGCGGCAAGCGGCGGCCTTCGCGCCGCCCCTTCGGCCCCTCTGCGTACACCCAACCACAAAAGCACCAGCGAACCAGCTAGCTAGCTAGCTGTCTAGCTTCCTAGCTAGCTAGCTAGCTAGCTAGCTAGCTAGCTGATTCACACGCAACCTCTGCAGAGAAAGCTGTGCCTCCACTCAGCGAAGTCTTTGGGCTTCCTCTCATCCAACGCCTATAGCTAGCTAGCTAGCTAGCTAGCTAGCTAGCTACATATCTAGCTAGCTAGCTATTTAGCTAGCTGGGGAGAGGGAAGGGGCCTAGCAAACCTTTGTCTTTGAAGAATTATGCTCTGCCTCTAATAAGCGAGGGCTGCGGCGCTGAGGGTTTGTTATGCTTGTTGAGGTGCCTATACACCCCAAACCCTTGCCCCCGCGGCCGCAGCCGCGAGAACGAACACCCCGCGTCCGGTACGGCATCCACTCTAAACCCTAAACCCTAAACCCTAAACACTAAACAATAAACCCTAAACCCTAAAGCCTTCGGCAGGGGCAACCCCTGCGAGGCTCCTAAGCCTCCACACTCTCAGGGATACAGCCACAGCAATCGAAGTCCTGGCTCGAACCTTAAAACTCTAAACCCTAAACCCTAAACCCTAAAGTAAACCCTTGGCGGTGCCTTGCGATGCTTCTAGGGTTTAGGGTTTAGGGTCTGTGGGGAGGGGTTAGAGCGCTGGTGGTTTAATTCAAATAAAAAAGAGACAAACAATCAAAAAGACAATGTGAAAAGACAACACTAAACCTCTGCTCACTGTTGGGGGTGGTTAGGGTTTAGGGTTTAGGGTTTAGGGTTTAGGGTCCTTCAGCACCCCTTATCCCAAGGCTCTTTCAGAGTATTTATATAAATGAATACGACAAATAAAACAAAAAAAGATATTTAGTTTTTTATTTTAACTTTAAATGAAAACAATAAACATGTTGTGCAGTGGGGCTGGTTGGTGGCTGCTGCTGCTGCTGCAGCAGCAGCAGCAGCAGCAGCTGGTGTTGTTGCTGCTGCAGCAGCTTCGGGTGTCTGGACAGCCCTATTATTTTATATTTTTCTCTTGAAATTTATATTAATTGTAGAAAAACAAAATTTTTTAAACTTCTAACAGCAGAAGAAGCTGCGAAGACACCCGACAGCTGCATGCCTTGCCCTTGTCTAACTTTAGTTTTTTTTAGTTTTTATTTTTATTTATTTAATTGTTTTATCGATTGAAGCATATATTTAGGGTTAAAGATAACGCTAGATATTGCCTTAATGATTTTTTATCTCCCTATACACCCCAACATTCACCCCACACATCTAATTGTGAAGACAAACATTTTTACTAGGGTCTTAAAGATGAGGGTTTAGGGTTTACAGCTGGCGATTAAGGGTTTAGAGTCGAGGGTTTAGGGTTTACAGTTGGCGGTTTAGGGTTTAGAGTCGAGGGTTTAGGGTTTACTTCCCCTCCCTCCACCACCCGGGACGTAGACAAGCCCTCCAGAAGCACCAGCTAGTTAGACAGCTAGCTAGCTAGCTATCTCGCTAGTTAATTGGCTAGCTAGCTAGCTAGCTAGCTAGCTAGCTTCCTAGTATGCTAGGGTTTAGGTAGCTAGCTAGTTCGTTAGTAAGCAAGGCAGCTGGCTGGCTAAATACTTTTTTATCTATCTATCTAGCTAGCTAGCTAGATAGCTAGATAAGTGGCTGGCTAGCTAACCCTAAACCCTAAACCCTAAACCCTAAACCCTAGGTTATATGTCTTCTACGTCTACCTCGGTGCAGTGTTTGTCTTTTGTTAGGGTTTAGGGTTTGTGAGGCACCCAAGAGGACCGGTTAAAAGGTGCGTATGAAATCTAAACCCTAAACCCTTAAAACCCTAAACCGTCTAAACCCTAAGCCCACTAAACCCTAATCCCTCCAAACCTCTAAACCTCAACCCCCCAAACCCTAATCCCTCCAAACCCTAAACCCTCTAAATCCTCTAAACCCTCTATACCCTAGACCTCCTAACCCTAAACTTTCTAAACCCTAAACCCTAAACCCTCTAAACGAGCTAAACCCCAAGCCTGAACCCTAAGACCTGAAACCCTAAACCCTAAACCCTAAGACCTTCAAAAACCCACTAAACCCTATCCCCTGCAAGTAATCCTTCAAACCCTAAACCCTAAACCCTAAACCCTAAACCCCAAACTCTCCCAATCGATATTTGTTGGTAGTGCACAATCTGAGTGTTTTTTAATATGAAAAAGTTGTTGCGTCTCAACCAGCAGCAGCAGCGGCAGCAGCAGCAGCAGCAGCAGCAGCAGCAGCATGCCTAAAGAACGCTGCGCCCACGCTGGTGCATAGACACAAGAATAATAATAATAATAATAATAGATTATAAGGATAATAATATAATAATAATAGTAATAATAATAAGAATAAGAATTAGATAAGCAGCCGCTGAAACTCATCATAGAAGACTAATACTAAAGCTGCACCTGCACCTCTTAATACATTCGCCCAGGCACCTTTAAAGAAACCCTTAGAACCCTCTTGTTGATATATCTTCCTCCAGCAATCAAGTGTAGATTTATATTGAATCTCTTCAGTTGTTTTTCTACCGGCCATGAGCATCATACGTCTTCTAACAGTATCAAAAGGATAAGATACAACCCCTGCTGCAGCTGTAACAGTTTGTGCTATAACCCACTTGAATAATATATTTTGTTTTTCTCCTTGAACAAATAGCATTGCTTTTGCTGTATCATATAGACCGAAGTAAGCCCCTCTATAAACAATAATACCCTGTACAGACACCCCAAAGCCCTGATAAAGAGAGAGAAACCCTGTTCTTCTTGAGACTTTCTTTATACAATCTCCTAATCCTAAAAACTCTCGAGCTGAGCCCTTACCGACATCAGAAGCTAATCTTGTACGAGCAAAATCTAGAGGATATACAACAGTAAGAGAAGCAGCACCTGCAAGACCCCCTGATAATACATTAGTCAGAAAGAACTTAAAGAACTCTTCATTCTGATTATACTTCGGAAATATCTTCTTAAAAGTATCTTTAAAAGTAAAATTAAATGCTTGTGTCGGGAAGTATCTTATAACATTTGCTAGGTTGCCCCTCCAGAGAGAGTATACACCTTGTTCTTTACAGACTCGTGAGAAGCAATTTATTATACCGCTATAACGAGGTGTATGACCATCTCTTATCGCGGGTATTGAGTCTTGAGTTTGAATAAGCATCTTCACTCTCTCTACTGGTGCTACAATTGTCTTCGACACACCTGCAGAGACACCCCCTGCAATAAAGTTCTTCGCAGCATCTATCAAAGGATTATTATCTCTTCTTTTCTCTTCTTTACCCGTCATCTTCAGGTGTATGTATCTGTAGATATATAATATATATATATATATATGTGTTTAGAGGTATATATACATATATATATATATATGTATATATATATGTATATATGTAGATAAATATATAGATAAGGATATATATGTTTGTATATATCACATACAGTTTTACTTATAATAATTTATTTAACAATGTTATTATACTCCTCTTCAGCTGACTTGCGTTCCAGTTCCTCCTGCTGCTGCTGCTGCTGCTGCTGTTGCTGTTGTTGTTGCTGCTGCTGCTGCTGCTGAAGAAGAACGTCAGCAGCAGCTGCTGCTGATGTTGTGAATAAACGTAAAACAAACAAACAAACAAACAAACAAAAAGAAGAAAAAGAAACAACACAAATCTAAAAAAAGAGAGCAAACAAACCCATGTCTTTCTTCTGCAGCAAAACGTTTATGAAAAGACAGACAGACAGATACACCTCATCATGGCTGCTGCTGCTGCTGCTGCTGCAGCAGCAGCAGTTGGGGCTTTTCGCTGCTGCTGCAGCTTACTGCCTCCTGTCTAGCTGGCGAGCAGCAACAAGTAAAGCATTAAAATATAATTTGTTTATATTTCTTACTTAGTTTCTTTGTTTTAAGTGTACAAACAACAAACTCTATCTACTTTTGCTGCTGCTTCCGCCGCCTTTATCTATTTTTTCTTTGCTTTTGTTTGCTTCTGCATATTTATATTATTTTCTAATGCGCTTAGGGTTAATAAGACACACTTCAGCAGCAATTCCTTTAAGTCTTGCTTCCAGCAGCAGCAGCAGCAGCAGCAGCAGCAGATTAATCTCACGTGGTGTGCTGTCTTGCGTGTCTGCTGCTGCGCTGACACCGCGTACTGCTGCTGCTCCTGCTGCTGCTGCTACTGCTGTAGCTGCTGCAGCTGCTGCTCTCCTGCTGCTGGTACTGCAGCAGCAGGTATATCTTTATTATATATATTTTTATATTATAAATTGCTTAAAAAGAAGATGTGGATGTTCTCTGCTTGGCGAAGCACTCCAGCAGCCGGAGGAGATTTAGATTTATCATCGGTAGATTTCTACAGTTTGCATGCACAGACAGCAGAAGGTAAAGAAAAACAAATGAGTGATTATAAAGGTAAAGTACTTTTAATTACAAATACTGCAACCAAATGTGGATATACACCCCAACACTTAAAAGAATTCAAAGACCTCAAAGATAAGTACGGCGAAGACGGCTTTGAGGTCAGTATATTAATTAATTAATTAATTAATTAATTAATTATTAATTAATATTTAAATAAATAAATGTAAATAAATAAATAAATAGTTAAAGATGAATATATATATATATATATATGTAGACAGTCAGCGCGCATGCGCATACCCAGAGAGAGGGAGAAGAAAACAAACAAACAATTAAATAAACAAATTAATTAATTAATTAATTAATTAATTAACAAATTAATTAATTAATTAATTAATTAACATGGTTAAACGCACGGATACAGATAGAAGTGAAGGTGTATTTGTAGTTTTTTATATCTCTCTTATGGTGAAGATATCAAAAGTAATAATCAGCAGCTTCTTCTTCTTTACTTCTTTTTGCGTGCATGCATTATATTTGTTTGATGATATATGCACCCTGTTTATGCGTATATATGTACATATATATATATGCATTATATAGTATTAGGTATATATATACATATATATAAAATATATATATATATACCTAATACATATACATATTCATATACACATCCATACATATATACATATATACATATGAACATATATATATATATATACTTATTTATTTATTTATTTATTTAATTTATATATTTATATATTTATATATTTATTTATTTTGCGTTAATGCTCAGATATTGGCTTTTCCTACCTTACAATTTAAGCAGCAAGAAGAGAAGGACGCCGCGACGATGTGTTTAATGTATAAAAAATATAATTTTAACTTCGATTTGTTTGCG